CAGATAAAGATCACAGGTTCAGTGTGAAGCGGCACCAGTTATCATCCTTCAAAAAGACAAAAAAGACCAGGTAAAAGTTTAATGAATGATGGTTTATTATCAAGAACAGTTTGATTTGAATCACACAACAGACAATCACATAAAATATATCCTGTAAAAAAAAGAAGAGTGCAAAACAATAAATAACAGAAGGAAGAAATCTGAAAACAATTATGAAATGATAAAAAGATTTATAAAAAGTGACAGTTTGGTGGATCTTTGCTTCAAACAAACTTTTATACATGATATGCACAGAGCTGTAAAGACAGAAATAGTGTTCTCAGATAGGCTATATGACATTTAACTGTGTACGCCGACATTGGGATGTAGAGATCTTCATTCGGCTCTGGAACGGATCACCTATTGGCCGACTAAAAAGCCCAGAACAGAATTAAAGCAGACCTAAACTTGGTCTGAGCTCATCATCATCATCTTCCATTCATCAGATCAACTGATAAAAAGTGCCGACTGCTGCCGGTTTCTAAAGGCCACAGCGGTTTGGTAAAACAGTCTGAAAAGCTAACTGAACAACCAACCTCAACAGGAGTGTTCAAGCACCTGGTCTGTGTTTGTCGCCCCGTTCCAGACACCCGCTCCCCCACTGTGCTCGGACTTTCAGATCAACACTAAGGAAATGTGTGCCGTGTAGAACAGAAGCTTAGGGTCTCGCAGGCGAATGAAAAAGCTGTGAAAACGGTGTCGGCTCCGACATGAAGACGTGCCGCTATGCGTTCGTTGCCGCGGTGACCGAAGACAAAAGCAGCAGAGTCGGTGAGCTGTGTCCTTTACTGTTAAAAAAAAATCAAAGAAATGAAGCGGAGATCACTGGTTTGGTTCTCAGTCACTGGTTTGGCGCCCTGGGGGTCAATCAGGCCTGTGGGTCAGCTGTGGACGTCACCTCCACCTGCTCCACCACCTCACTGGTGGGAGACTGGAAGCCGCTGTCGTTATGTGGAAGCACTGGGTTCTCTGGATTTGATTCCTGGGTTTGAGTTGGCGCTTGCTTATTTGACGCCTCTTGGTCGTTGGGTTGTGGCTCCTCAGACGCCGGCTGGCTGTTCTCCCCCTCCTCCACCTGAATGCTAACTGGTGCGCTCTCTGCAGCTGCTTCAGCCTTTACTGGGATGTCTTGATCACATGGCTCATCTGTAGTTTCCTCCCCTTCCTTCAGTTCTGAATCTTTGGATATTTCTGGAGGGTTCTGTGGGGTCGTTTGTTTGGCTTCAGGTAGTGCTTCCTCTGACTCTGTTTGCTTGCAGAGTGGCTCCTCCTCAACCACCGCCTTGCTGTCTTCTTTAAGCTCCTCCTTAATGACTGACCCGCCGTCTTCCTCAGGGTTGGTCAAAGCAGCTTTTTCCTCACACAGGTCCTCAGCTTTCCCTTCCTCTAAAACGGATATACTGGTCACGGTCTGTGAGGTGGTTTCTGTACCTTTGGGGCATATTTCTACAGGACGAGGTGGAGATGGAAGGATTTCCTCTGACTCCTGACTTTGGGAAGGCTTTTCTTCAGTCACAGGTTGGAGGTTTTCTCCCTCTACAGTACTGGAACCCTCATCTACAGGGGATTCAACCTTGGTTAGCTCCTTTTCCTCAGGCAGCTCCTCAGGGTTTGGTTCGTCTTTCTGTGAGGAGGATCCACCGGAGGTGTCTGGAGGGCTCTCTGACTCTTTAGGCACTGGAAATTGTTCAGAGGTAGCTTCATCTTCCGCCTTTTCCTCCCCGGCTCCATCCGCCTCCTCCAGGATGACGTCAATGGCAGGTGCCTCCTTGAAGAGCTCACTGGAACCCTCCACTTGGATCATTGACACCACCTGCTTTACCCTTCTCCTCTTCTGGGACTCTGCACATTCACCATCAGCCTCGGAAACCTCCATGAGCGGTTCTCCTTCCTCCTGCTGTTCTCCATACTTCTCTGCCCAGTCAATGGACGGGTTCTCTCCCAGCAGGTGGAGGCTGGGGTCGCTGTTGCTGAGGACAATACTGTCCCTGTACAGGTTGTGTCTCCTTTGGACTGCTGCCTCCTTCACAGCTGGAAAAGAAAGAGACAAACGATTCAAGGCTGAGTTTGATTAACATCACAAAGATTTTAAGTTAGTTCCGTCTCTTAGTAACAGGAAAATTATCACGGAGACATGTTGGTAATCCCTTAAATAGCAGAACCATAACAGATCTTGGTCAGAAGCAGCTCTCTCAGATGCATCCGACCACCAACTAATAATGGTACCAAGGTACCAGCGAAGGCTAAGAGCTAACAACCTAGCGACCTTTAAGGGGCTAACATTTAAAGACATGCTTTCAGTTGGTGAAAGTAAGTACCTATTGCCCTGGTGTGTTAGCTCTGTAAATAATGCGTGTTAAGCTTTCTTTTTCGTCATCTTATTGTTGTCGTCAACTAGAACTAGCAACATTTGCCTCTTAATATTTTCCCCAATCATTGCTAGCTCTGTGGTTGAATGAAAGGTTTTCCAAATGGAAATAACCTTCTGCCACTTTTTTATAGCTGACCATTCATTTACCGTCCTGTTCTATAAAGGAGGAATTCATTTTCTGGTTAAAATAGTTCTTTTTTTCTCCGCTATTGCTGCATCCAAGTAAAATCGAAGTTTTAGGGATTGCTGCAGAGTCAGCAATAAAATGCAAGCCAATATCTACCCTCTTTACCTGCACATTCAGGAAGAGAGAATCCTGCAATGTCAATGACTAGAGCCAAACAGATGGTTGGGTGTGTATATATAAATGTATATCTCATATGGTTCTCCTTTTTTCTTAATGACAAAAAAAGCAATTTTACTCAGAAAACTAAATGTCTGACCTCTGCACAATTGTGCCACAATTAGAGACACAGAGTGA